CTTCATTTGTGTTATGCACATGATTTGGCATCCTTTAACATGACATTTCAGAGCATATAGACTTTTCATGTTCCTACTTCTTCCACTCTTTAAGTGCCTTTGAGTGTTATGCATTGTTGCCTTGTTTATGGCCTAGTGTGTATGCATGCATGCCTAGGCCTTTGAGCCCCCATCTCAACATATTTTGGTCTTTGTTTAGACCTAACTAAGCTCTATCCATGGTTGGTTCATGCATTTGTGCCATGTATTGCATGCCCCCTTTGTAGTCCTCTTTACTAACCTTATGCCTTAAGGACTCTAGTATGTTATGCTTGTGTTGATTGAATGATTTGACATCATTTCATACTTTATTTCAGAGCATGTGGTGTTGTCACACTTCCACATTTGTCACTCTTTGAGCACTCTTGAGAGTTGTGCTCTTATGCCTAGTTGATGGGCCATTGCATTGAGCATGTTTGTCTTGATCTTCATGCCTTAGTTTTAGCATTATGGCCACTGATTTGGGCATGACTGAGGTCTGTCCATTTTGGTTTAAGTCCATCGAGCATGTTATGTGAATGTTATTACATTGTATCATGTTGTTGCATGCTTATGTTGCCATGCATTGTATATGCTCATGTCACATTGCATTGAGTATGCCATGTCGTTGTTTGCATTATGTATGCCATGTTATTCTTTGCATTGTATATGCCATGTAGTTGCATTGTGTTTTGCATGCCTTGCATTGCATGTTTACATGCTTAGGTTGCATTGCATGTTTACATGCTTGAGTTGCTTTGCATTTGTTTGGATAGGGTATTAGTCCAAACACGAGAAACGAGGGGCGTTTCATACTTGAAGTGATGAAACGTGCCTCAATTCTCGGTCGCCGACGCTCTTGATCATACATGGTAGAGTTCTAGGCTTTATGTGTTTATTTGTGCATTCATTTTACATTGAATTGTGCAACTTCGCTTCTCGGGCATCATGCATTGAAATGCGTGATTGGTGGCCCGAGGGTCAAGAACCACACTCCCTTGAGCTTATGAAATGATAGGGAAGGTGGTTGTGCACACATATCTTGCAAATACATTGCCACGCCCTTTCTTGCTCTCTGTTGCAGCAAATTGGAGAAGTGTAGCAAAAAACTGGTCGACCAACCAAAAAAACTAGCTGGCCGACCACTTTTTCTGGTCTGCAGCAAAGAAAAGTGGTCGGCTAGTGGCTAAAAACACCTCTAGGTGGTCGGCAGCCCTCCCACAGGCCCCCAAGGTGAGTTGGAAGCTTTCTGGAGCTTGGTGCAAGGTTCTGAGAACAATTGTAAATAGAGGCAAGTTGGGGCATCACAACGGATTTCCGAACGAGGCGACCGAGCATGCATGCACTCCTCATCCCGAGGACCTCTCTTTAATGCTTTCCTTAGCTAGTTTATGCTTTGGTTCTGTACCTAAGTAGTTAATGCGTTTAGTTGCTTATCTGTGTTGTAATAACTAGTTAGTTAACTTGTTAGTTAATTAGTTTCGTTTTGTACTTAATTAGTTAACTTGTTAGTTAATTAGTTTTGTGATGTAATGATTAGTTTAATTAGCTTAGATTAGCTAGTTAGCTTCTTATTCGGACCCTCCGTCGAGAGGGCTAACTATTGTAATAAGCGTGCGTGTGTGTGATGCATGTCTTCCAACCCCCATTTCTTTCTCCCTTTTACTTAACCGCTTACGATGGTTAGTTTTAGGGCATGTTTCGATTAGCATACCTTATGCTTGCATGTGTGCATCCATTCATCTGTTTTGTATGTACCGGGCTCGATGCATCATACTAACTGCATTGTATTTCAATTCCAATTTGAATACATCTACTAAGTTGCATTTCACATGACATTCTAGAATAGCCGAGCCTATTTTAGTTGCATTTTTGTATGTGTTGCATTAGCCATCTTAACATGAACTAGGATCATGCATGATTTCTAACTAGTTCTCTGTTTTGGCTTGGAGTACACTGTGAGTGTTTACGCTTTAGCATACTGCATGTGTGTTAATGTTGACATGTTAGCATGCTTGCCATGAGGCTAACTGCTTATGTGACATAACTGCCTGAATGCCTGTGGGTGAAGGTTGGATTGCTTGAATTGGAACAATTCATCAAATCCCCGATTTAGCCTACTTGCGAGTAGCAAACTTCAAATCATTTTCACAAACGAACATGTAATGTTTTGTTCCAACTTAAGCGATCTAGTCTATACTTGTATGTTGTACGCATCACATAGTAATTCTAGGTTAATAACCAGAATAAGAACACATGTGTTTTCAAAAACAAAATATCATGCCTAGTAAAGGCCGATCTTTTGATCGGGCGAGCGGCGGTGCTCATTGCATGACCTTCCCCTCTCGTACCCAAGTTCCCGAGCCGAGGCAACTTTGGTGATGACGGACACGTGGCCTTAGGCACGAGTCAGGGTTTCCTAAATTTCCCCCAAAATAAAAAATTTCGGTGGTGACTCTGTATCTAGAAAAACAGTTCATGTTTGGCACTTCTTTATAAAAATTAGTTTTCCAAAACGATTTGCCGGATTTGGACTCTTTGGTGATTTATCGATCCTGCATTGCACTTTGTGAGATTAGATTCAGAATCGTGACATTGAGTCCGAACTATAGTAGCTAAAGAACAAAGCGATTCGCGTCCCCGCACGTGGAGAGCGGAGTTCTTCGGGGCGGTCTACACATGTCTCGATTTTTCACTGTTTTTTTCTCCACGTGGACACTTTATAACACATTGTGGACACACTTGTCTTGCCTCCCATGACAGAGTTATCTTCTTATGAGCTGTAAAAAGAGACAAATTCATAATTATCACCATGTAAGCATGTTGTATATGTTATGTAACATTCTCTCCCATTTTTAAACAATAAATATGAAGTAAAATGCTGCATTGTCAATTTATGACACACAAAATTATTAATTGTTGAAAGAAAATATATAAAACTCTTTTTATAGTGAAATCAAATTAGTATAAAATTTTGTACCCCTATTGGATCATGTTTAAAAACATACAAAACACACCAAAACCATATTAGACCCTAATAAATGGAATTTTGAAATAAAAGCAGAATTATCGGTAAATTTTCACAATGTTGTGCAAGCAATTTTTTTCAAAACTCCGGTTTCGACAACTATTACACTATGCCCCATTACCTAAGTAACCGATTCATGGAGTGGGAGCAAAAACGTATGAGTATCCATTATGGAAATGCCTCGAGAGGGAGAGCACATCTAGAGCTTGTATATTTACATATGTTACTACACATTTATATTATTTATATTTTCATTCATAAAATAGACAGAATAACACAAGTGCAGAGATGCAGAACAGTTTGATTACTAGGGATTAAAGTTTAATCACCTTTTCAAAAAAAACCAACAACCTTAATCAATTCCACATCGAAAAAACAAAGAAACCTATGTGTCTCACACTCTTATAAAAGTAAAGGCTCTCATCTACTTTGTCTCGATGGATTGCACAATCCCACGTTCAGAAAGCAAGCAAACATAAGGTGTCCAACCTCTTACAACGTCAGTCTCATGCTTTACAGCTTCTTTAATGCTGATGTGGTTCTATGGGCCACATGGTTGCATATTTTATGCTTCTCACTATATAGAAGGGTAGATGCACCATATTCATGTTGAACGAATTAGATGACTAAGCCCATTACACCCTACAATCACATCACTGTCACCATTATTATAGTTACAACAATGGCACCTAGTATTTGAAACCTACTGCATATACTGCAATTTTCATTGCCAAGGAGATAACCAGAGCCACTCTAGCAATAGGCAAATTGTCAAGAAGTTATGCGTAAAAGAATTCACAACTCTGATTGCATTGCTGGAAATTAGGCTTTTAGCGGAGTTTAAAAAATGCCGCTATAAGTATCAAAAACGTCGCGAATTCTTTTTGTGACGTTTAATACCAAACGCCGATGACGCGGCCGTCGCTATAACTTTATGACGTTTGGAAAACGTCGCTATATTAGTATAGGCGACGTTTTTAAAAACGCCGCCAAATGTCTTCCCTAACAATACTGTGACGTCACTATGATTTTAGCGACGTTTTTAAAACGCCTTCATAGGTTTTTTAAATTTTAAAAATTCCAACCGTTACAGTGGCATTTTAAAAACGCCGTCTTATCTTTCTTTTTTTTTCTTTTTTTTTTTTTGGTTTTGAAATTGTGCTAATTTTATGTGATTGAACTAAAAGAACACCAATAATAAAACTAAATAACACTAATATGAAATAATAACTCACATTCAAATAACAAATATAGCATTAATTCACTTTCCCATTCAATTTAATATAGCATTAATTTTCCCATAAAATAACATATTCAAAAATTGAATTCACAATTCTCAATCAAAAAATTACTACCTTATATACAAAGCCACAAAATAACATTACCCTCCTCTCTCTCTCACCACTCCCCCATTTAATACAAAAAATAAGAAGTGAACCAAAACACCCACTGTCAGATCCAAGGAAAAAAAGAAAAAATAAGAAAAATAAAAAACCAAAGGATTTTAACACAAAAAATCTGAAAAAATTGCTGGCCCTTTGGCAACTAATTCAGAAGTTGTGGTTGGATCCGATGACAATTTGGTAAACAACTTCTTCACTTGCTCAACAAGGTCCTCATGCTTCACAACTCCAGAAGCAACAATTACCTAGAATAGTAGCTCCAGGTAGAACACCCAATGTTTAGGACTTCAAGAAAGTAAATTGACGGCATTGAATAATTGATAGATGAATGAAGGTGAACCCAACATGTTAACTAAATAGAACTAGCAAGAAATTATGAACAGACAAAATGCTCATAACTTTATGACACCACCTACCATTCTGGATGTAGTATAGTGTGTCGATATATACTTTTGAAGATGATCTTACCACTTTTCTTAATATACAGTCAAAAATGCGTCTACAGTCAAAAAGCTCATTTCCTTAATATATATGCACACTTTGTGGCTCAACTAACTATATAAAAATAAATTCAAAAAAAAAAAAAAAAACCAAAACCAAAATAGAAAATTTCTACAACTTAACAATTGGTGATTACTCAAAATAGAAAATTTCTCATACTATGCATAAATAAAAAGTAATGCACTTACCTTTTCATCCAATGAGTGAATGAAGCTTTCTGTAGGACTCAGAACTCTTCCAAAGGGAAGAGGAAACTCTATGTCACCCCACCTAAACTCATAAATAAATAGGATTAGATAGTATCACAATAGGGTTATTTTAAATGGAACTTTTCACAGATCAATTTACTGTGTATCAAAAGAGAATGTAAGAAGGAGGAGGAGGAGCTCACTTCTTAAAGTTCTTAAAGGCAGCAGTGTCATCCAACTCTGCCCTCATATCCAATGGGTATGGCTCTCCATTCACCAAGGTAAAGGGATTCATCTCAAGGAAACTGCAATCCAGATCTATAGACAGAATAGCAAAAACAAATGTCATGTGAACAATGTCAATGTTCTATGAAAATGGAAGATAATTGTCAAACAAAACATCAACAAAAACATGCACACCCGCAAATACAACATTTGAAGATCAATAAATACAACATTTTCCATTATGTTGCCTTTAGGAATTAAAATATTACTACTATATTTTCCAAGCATGTTAGAATATTCTGTTTTCATATAGTACTAATAAGTTGGTGAAAACAAACCTGGTTGGTGTAAGCATTGCTGCATTTGAAGATCCCTTTAACAAACTGACCAGTCCCTCCTGCAATTGCCTTTGCCAAAAAATTATTATAATCTTGAATCGCAGGTGCATACTCCTTCAATTTACATCCTTATTACAAGTATTTTTAAATAGTTAATAAAGATCAGCACCTTACTGATGATTCTAACAAAGTATAGCCCAGAAATGTCCAGGATACATAACCAGACAACTTGCATAGCAATAAACATTCTCATAAGCATAGCAAAAAAAAAAATTCACTATGAGAACATTTTTCTAAGTTTTTTTACTGTTGGTTTCAACATGGAAATGTCCAGGATACATAACCAGACAACTTGCATAGCAGTAAACCTTCCAGAGAACATTTCTGGAGGGAAAAAGCGCAAACAGTCCTCAAAGCAGGTGAATCCTATTCTCAGACACTCATCACTCGAGTTCATATTGAAAGAACCCCAGTGGTTTCCTGCGTGCAACCCCTTTTTGCTGCAGTCTTCAAAAATACTTCGTTCCAAGCCAAAACCATGTTTCAATAGATAGCCATCACAAGTGATTACTGTAACCAAAAAAATAAAAATAAAAAAATTGAAAACTTATTTGAAAGGCTGGATGAGAACTCTGATATTATGATGAATAATGTGTGTGTGTGTGTGTGTGTGTGAGAGAGAGATAGAGATCCTCTGCTCCCAGACAGACAGAGATCATCTGCTGCTAACAATTACAAGGCTCTACACAAGCAAATCAACTATCCTCATTGTTCTCAAGTCGACCTTAGCTCTTCAAAAGTTGCAAAAATGCAGAATCCATTATTTCCAGGACAAGATAAAAAAGAGCAAATAAGACACCAAACAGTAAATACTAAAGCCTTGTGAACTTGGTAGATATTCTAGAATATTATGACATTGGGAGAAATGGATAGAGCATTTTCCTTTATATTGAACAGTAAATACTAAAGCCTTGTGAACTTGGTAGATAGCAACAAATAAACTCATGAACAAGCTTAAGAGTTATGTATATCTAAAAGGACAAGTACAAGAAAGGTATAACACTAGCAGAAACATAAATGTGCATAGAAAGACAAGTACAAGAAAGGTATAACACTAGCAGAAGATAAATAGAAGATACATTTCCTCTTTTATTAAAGCATAGAGCAATATGAATTGATTAAATGAAGCCATTTACGAGATTTGTGGCTAGCCTAAAAAATGTGCAATAAAAGAAGAAATATAGTATAAAAGTACAATAAAACCTTAAACACACAGAATGACGCCACATCCCAATTTCATAACCAAAGCATACGTGCATATATTTTTCCTTTAATATGATACAATGTGTAGATAGAACACAAGAAGAACAGTAGTCAAAGTGTAGTTTAATACACCCTTGCACTCAATTGCCGTCGATTATCTTGCTTTACCATCTCTTGCTTTACCATCTCCATTAGTGCTGTTTCCAACTCCTCAGCTCTGGAAAAGAACAAGAACCACTCTTATGGATTTACTGTAGCTTTCATGAGGCACATTAAGAAAATTAATACTATTTACGCCCCAGAGCAAAACAGATGATCATCTAATAAGAAGTAATTTTGTATTTAAAGATTGACTACCTTCCATGAGAAATTAATGCCCTCACAAAAGCATACACATGGATATATGACTGCTAATGTTAAATGATAACATAGATTATTAGCACAAAACAGGTTAAATAAACAATTTGCTCTAATGAAGGAACCCTTGAGAACTTCAACACATACATAGACAACACAAAAGCAGCTGGACACATTAATCATGCAATGCATACCAGGCTTCTAATGACACTGGGTTGATCACCTTGCCTAATTAACTACTCATGTATTTGTTTATCTTATCATAATCACCGTCTTATCTTCAACCTAATAATATGGGCCTAATTGGAAGCATGAAAAATTCTCGGAAAGATGCAGATACTAGACACCACACAGCAAGTACTAACCTTGGTGTACCAGATCTCTTCTCCTCCAGCAACCTGAACAACTCGACCTTCAACCAAACCACCTGCACATGAGCCGTTAATGAGCGAAACTTGAAAAGAGTTGAACATGAATTACTTATATTCATCGTGTGATTACAAGTAATATGCCATTGTTTACATTTATAAGTTTTGCAATTATTGAACTGGAAATCTAGTCATACTACCCAGCAAATGAAATGAGTAACAGATAGAGGTGTGGATTTAGCAATCTCCTAAACACTACTAAAGAAGTGCATCATTCTCATGGCACCTTTACTGGCCAGACAAAGATTAATATATAATAGCATCAAGGTTACCTGAGCATCATTCAAGAACATAATTGATGAGTAGCTTTGATACACAAACATAGTAAAGAACGAAATGGAAAGGCAAGAAATGAACAAACACACACATTTCTCTAGAATACTCTTCTTTTTTTCTGTCGGTTTCTCTCCCTATTTTTCATGTTTTTTAGTGAATGCAAAACTATATCAGAATCAGGAGTGCTGAAAACAACTGGAAGAAACTAGAAGTGAGAGACATTTTTGAGTAAAGAGATGGAATTCTGTCCAGTGGCCCCTAGAGGAAAATAGGTTTATAGTGTAAAAGAAGGAAGACAGATTAGAGTCTCACTTCCCCAGCACCAAGGAATAAAAATGTCTGCTCGGCCAAGGATCCACCAAGTAACTTCAGTGCCGCAACAAGCCCTGCAAGAACCACAGCTGCTGTCCCCTGCAAAAGTGGGGGAAAAAAAAGTTAAGACAACATGGGATTCCTCAAGGTTATTTGAACGATGACCATATTATCACATACCTGTATATCATCATTGAAGACAAGATGAGTAGTACTATATTTCGCTAGCAGCTCAAAAGCATTGTGGTTTGCAAAATCTTCAAACTGTAAAGCATTGGTAGCAAATCAAACCAATATTAGAACTGCAAGAACAAGATCAGGCCTTGAAATTTTTTCAGATTAAGGATGCAAATCCACCTGTATGAGTACTTTTTCACCATAGTTCTGCTTGACAGCAGTCATGAATTCATGAAGAAGGTCATAATATTCCTGGAATACAATTTGACAAAACTGCCTCAGTATTAAAGAGAATTACGTAATGTATCTTAATGCTTGTAACTAAACACAATAAAATGCTAAAACTATTAGACCTTCCCAGTTGCCCTCCTTTGTCTGAGCCCAATGTAGAATTCATCTTTCAACAACTGCTCATTGTTTGTCCCCACATCAATGGTTACGGGCAAACACTGCACAGGCAAGTAAACAGATCGTTACTAAAATGGTAAAAATGAGAGGATAGCGCTAAAACCAATCAATATTATATGGTCAAGCTGACAACTAAAGCATGGCATTTACTTCTTGACACAGTACTGAAAATTAAACACACATATTAACACAGTTTCATTGGTACTGAAGTAAAGGTTTCAAATAAGATATACTAAAATGAGCATCTACAATTGTATATGATTAGCTGGTGACACTTACCGAAGAAGGTCTAACTCCGCCAAGTGCTGTATACGGAGCCAGTTTTCCAACAGGTATCCCCATCCCCTGATAAAAATTAAGCTTGTTATTAGCTACAAATGCATTTTAACAGGCGTTTGCCACAACAGGCCATCTGAATTAAATGCCTGCCTATTAATAGACAGAGACACATTCCAATTAATACCTAGGAAGAAGATAAATATGTATTAGATTAGTACCATAACTAATGCGAACAAGGAACCACTGAAAAAATTGTCATGTAAATACTCTACCTTCTGGTTTTTACAACTAATTATGCATTTGGCTGATGAACAAAAAAAATAATTATGCATTTGGAAGGTAATTATCTATGTACTAAAACAAAATGGAATTACATGCTTTTGTTTTCTCTAGTATCTTAAAGCAAGAATCCCTTCTTTCAAGTAGAAATTTTAAAAAAGCAGTTTGTAACACACACTGAAAAGGGGTATAAAAAAAGTTTAAAAAAAGCTATTGGGAAAAGAACAGAACAAGAGAGATTACAATGATATGGGAAATGAAGATTGAAGGGTAACTGAAATATCAAAATTAGCATAAGTATGAGAGTAAATGCTCCTCCAGATGCTAATTAAAACAAAATCAATTCATATCCAAGCAGCATCTAAGCACACAACACATATGCACCAATCAGCTTCAAATTCACAACTGGGGATTGATGTAGACTAAAGAGGCACCTCAAGGTCCATCATGGCCATGTACTTCTGCAGTGGAACTTGATATTGGCGAATATTGTCCATCAGTTTCTTCTCCTGATAAGTCAAATGAGAAAATTTCAACAAGAATGATTTGAACTAAAGTGAGGTTGCCAACCTCCTTCAGGCTCACCTTGCCATTATTCAACCAACCACAGGCTCAGCTTTTTGGAGCTCATTTGACAAACAAGAAGTAATAAGGAGCAGAGCATCATTTTCCTAATCACTCTCAACTCGAATGAATCTGATCTGTAATATATGTTACAGGACAAATTGATATAATAGCTAAAATAATAGAGGATGCACAGACACATCACACAGATTCAAAGGGTGATATGTCTTCCTTCATCACCTCACCAGATTATAAAAGTTTTTTTTTCATAAATCTCAAGTGCTGAGGGGTGATTCCGGATGACCTATCAGCACCCATTCCACATCACAAATATAAAAAAAATTACTCACTAAATTCAAATAGATGTTAATAATAGATGTAGTGTCATAACCAGAAACAAATCCGAAAGTAACAAAAATTAAGCTTGCAACCCCAATTCTAACAAGAACGGTAAGGTCTAGAAAACTAAATATATAATAAGGCTAACCTTGTACATATGTGGCTGTGTGAAAGACGGCTCATCCATCTCATTGTGCCCAAATCTACGATAACACACTATATCAATCACTGAACTGAAGAAGAATCGAAGAACAATCACTGAACTGAAGAAGAATCGAGAGAGATTTGAGTGAGAGAAAGAGAGAGCAACTAACCTCTGATCGAAAAAGACTAAGAGCTCCAAATCCACGGAGATGAATCACCGATCTATGCTCAAAATCGAACTTCAAAATCACAATCCCAAGATGAATCACCGAACTGAAGAAGAATCAAAGTAGAATCAAGAGAGATTTGAATGAGAGAGAGAGCAAAGAGTGAGTGAGAGATTTGAGTGAGTGAGAAGGAGACGGCAGTGCTCAAAATAGGGTTTTCAAAATAAAAATAAAAGAGAGATAGAAGAGGGTGTGAAAAGAGACAGGGAAGAGGGTGTGAAGAGAAACAGGATTTGGAGGCGTTTTTTAAACGTCTTCTATTTACGAAACGACGTCGTTTTACCTAACAAAAAAAGGCGACGTTTAAAAAACGCCGTTAATTATCAAAAAAAGTGACGTTTAACTAAACGTCGTTAATTAAACGCCGTTAAATCCTCATTTTCCTGTAGTGTTGCCACAACAAAGTAGGGGTTTCTTCTCATAACATTATTTATCACAATCATCATGCAGATCCTCTCTCTCTCTCACACACACACACACACAGACGCACGCACATGCACACATCAAATAATTAACCTAAAGACATTAAAGTACCATTGTTATTCTAGATTGTGTAGTAGGTTGTACAATTTTAAAGAAAAGAGCTTCAAAACCTACCTTTAATCTCTAAATCAAAAATTTATTACTGATATTGAAGACAATGTAGCTTGAAACAGTGACTTCGCAATGTTTTAAGTCTCACAAACATCCACATGTTGTCCATGGAGCTTATTAGAGGACCCCATGGAGTGGTAGTGTGGAAGAGTATTATGAAGGTGTGGGATGAGTTCCATAAACTCAACTTTATTACAATGTGGAATGGTTGGATAGTGAGATTCTGGCATAATATCTAGGCTTTGATGGATGCCTTTCTAGACTTGTATAAATTTGCTTGAGATAATTGAGCTTGGGTCTTTGAGTTTTAGACATTTGGGTCTATGCCACAAGGTGGTGATGATGAGTGAATGCCAAAGCTTACGAGGGATTTGCAATATTAAGAAGTGGATTTAGTGACAGAGATGTTTGACATACTCTTCCTTTTACCAGAATCTTCTTAGGCATAATGATAGATGTTTTCCTTGGAAAGATGTGTGGTGCCCCAATATTCCTTTGAAGAATGCTTTATTGTTTTGGACAACAAGGAAGGCAATTTTCACCATTGATAATTTATGGATGTGGGGTAAAGTTTTTCTTGATTGGTGTCACATGTCTAAGTATTCTTAGTGATTTATCTTTTGTTGCATCGTAGTATGGGCCAGTGACCAAAGGAGTTGTAGAGTTTGTTAATTTTCAATTTTGGTGATGTTTCTTTTTCCTTGGTGGAAAAAGGATGCCCAAGGGGCAATACGAGGGTTTGGGATATGGCTTTGTTATACCTCATTAAGGATTGTGTAGAGAGAGATAACAGATCTTGTAAGTGGATGGAGAGCTCGCTACGTGCTTTGAAAGGTACCCTAATAGCATCCTTGATTTTTTTTTGGGTCAGGTAGGGCTATAAAATGGACTAAGCTATTTGAGCTCAACTCGTGTTCGGCTTATTAAAAGCTCATTTGAGATTGCCTCGTTACATAAACAAATCAAGGTTGAACACATTTTGAAGATCTTTAATTTTTTGAGATCGGCTCGTACTCAACTCATTAAGCTTATATGTATCATAAAAAATCAAACTACTCAAATTCAATTCTCGCTCAATCAAAGATTATTTGAGATCGACTCAAAAGTTAAGCCAAACTTGAACGCATTTTGGAACTCATTAAGTTTTCAAGCCAAGTCGAGCCTACATTCGTTTACAACCTTGACTCAGGAATGACAACCCTTTTTCATTGAAACCTTTTGGTAAATTTTAGTAGGAGATGTACATTTCTACACACTATGATTACATATATATATATATATATATGTTCTTTTAATTGTTTTTTTTTTTTTTTTTGGTATATATCCTGTTCTAATCCTTTCTTTAATAACAAACTTACTTATTAGAGAGAAAAAAACATCAATATGTGTTGTCAGCAACAATTTCATTTGAAATCTTTTCAGTCATTCAGAGTTAACCACTAATCCTATAGCCCTTATATTTCATTTATTCTAGTACATTAAATTTTTGTAAAGAAAATTTACAAGTACTTGAAGGACCATCACTTTGCCACATGTTGTCATCCAAATGATGTACTAGGAAAGACTTCTAATCCATTCTTCTCCAACTTCCTGCTCCCCCCTCTCTCAAAGTAGTCTGTTTGTTTTCCCCCCGACTAAAAATCATTATATTCCATCCTATATAATTTGTTGCTTAAAAACATATACCTATGTAATAATTTAAAAAAATGCCTTCTAAGTTATTTAACAATTAAGAACGGGTCACACTAACCTAGAATGACAATTGAATATATCATTCCCAAATAGGACATTTCTCCTTCTAACTCCCCAACTGTTGTATGATTCCTCTATTGCCAACTATCATTTCTATCAAATTTTCTTTGTTTGTCATTGTCAATGCTTAACTTCATTATGAAAAAATCTTCCATCAATTTGCCAAGCCAATAGTATGAACAAAGCTTTATTCAGTAGAGTTATTTATTTAATAGCTATGTCTAGCCCAGCTCTAAAAATGCTAAAAACCCTCGATTGCATTCACGAAAAAATATTGAGATAATTGAAGGAAAAGTGTTAAAAATGATTAAGAAATAAATTGATTTTTGTTGCAGTCTCCTATTTTTGCTCTCATTTCTTCTATTACCCAAGTGGAATGTCCATAACAATGTCAATTTTCTGGTTAACTTTTTCCTCTGTATCAACTGTGTTTATTTCCCATAAGGGCATCTCCAACTCTTCATCAATTTTTTTATCTAATTTGATTCCAAATTTGAGTTGAAAACTTGATTTTATATGAACGGCGCCAAGACTTTGATCAAATTTTTATCAAAATCTTTTTTAAAATTCCTTCATATCCCAAATTTCTCTTTTCATCAAATTTGATGAAAAAAATATCATCTCCAATACTTCATCTTTTTATAAAATTTTATCAAATTAATTTGATGGAAAAAAATCAATCCGCATAAACTACATTCCAAAACCAAAAGAGTCAAACTAATCTATGATATCCACACAGACATACAAAAATCGAAATATTAACTTCAAACAAAACCTAACGCATCTCTTATACTTTCCTAGCTCGATCACTTTCTCGCAAGCAACGATCTGCATTGAAGACATCCAAAACAATAGCAAATCATAGAATAAAATAGAAAAAGAAAATCACAATGTCCAAAGATCGAGAAATGAGCCCTAGAAAATTACCTATATGCTCGACGTTTGCAGTGGAGATTGAATGAGCTAACCACGTCAGTTCCATCCCAAATCATCTCGCGGATCAAAGGTGGTGCGTCCTTGTATATATATAGAGAGAGAGAGAGGGGGGGTAAATCTGGATGAGTCCAAATCGTCTACCGCGGCTGTCTGCGACAGTCCAAAACACGTCGTTTTGGACTCTTTTTTTTTCCCCCTTCTTCTTTAGCTTTTTAGCCTCTCTTTCACTTCATCATTTTAAAA